ACACAAGAGCGCGCACACACACATCCTTGTGTAATAACACATTAACTGAGGTGAGGTGATCCACTCTGAAGCGCAGTCATCGGAGCTAGACAGTATCATTAAGAAGCCACACACAATGATCAGTCATCACTTCACCACACGAAACAGAGAACAACCACAGCGCCACGTCAACAACTCCATCACTATAATTCCACACGGTTGTTATTGTACTGTATATCTGCTCATAATTTCAATATCTATCAGCCTTTGAAATGCGATAACCATTAACAGTTCCTACAACAAACCAATAACACAGACAGACAGATTATGTGTCTGCTCTCTGGTTTTTTAATTTCTGGTGGTGTGTTTTTAATCTGTGGCAGTGTGTTGTCTCTCTCTCTCTTATGTCTGTGTTGGCTGCCAGAAGCTCTTATCACGATCGCTAGCAATCAGCAGTTGGGGAATGCCAACGATTTGAGAAACAGCCATTCAGCTTCACACACTGATTGTTGTTTGATTACTGTTTGTGAGACATGACTGAAATATGGTCCTCGGGGAAGGGATAAGCCCTTGGTAGCGTATATGAACGCAGCCAGCTAGATTATACAGCGTGACTGCGACTGACAATAGGGTGCATTCATTGATAGGAGTCAGTAAAAAGTGAACCGTGCGTTTATGTGAAAGGAGATAAAGATCATCCTCAGAGAGGGTTCACATTACATTTACATTGAATTTATGTAAGCATGAACTGTGTGAACTGTAAACTTTTCCTTACACAAGAACTTGAGATGAATTCTATCTAAAAGGGGTTTTCTTCTGAATCTCGTCCACCTGTTTGTCAGGATCCTGGACTTCCGGAGGGTCCCGCCGGTGGCTGGCAGGCTGGTGAACATCACAGGAGAAGTCCTCCAAGTCACCCACAACGAAGACCTAAGAGCGGTCTTCTTCAACTCGCCAGGTGAAGAACTAGAAGGCCTCTTTTATTGGAACAGTTTGACTTATTTTGCCAAGAATCAGATGCATGTCTGTTTACTAAGTATGAAGCCAACAGGTACAGCCAGGAGGCAGACGTGAGAGTGGTGTTTCTCATTTAATTCTCAGCAAGAAAGCAAATAAGTGTGGTTCCTAAAATGTCGCTTCTGGTGTCCTGTAGCTTATGTTGCTTGTTTAGGTTTATAGATAGTTTTTTCAGAACTTTTGAACTTCCACTGTGTGTCTAATGAAGCTGCTTCTAGTGGATGTTTTGTGCCATTTCAATTTTTATGCCAAACAATTATAAATGTAAGGTGTTTTTATTCCTGGCAAGGGTGAAACAGCATTAACCTGACCCGTTTAATGACACAATTACGTGGCCAACATCTGACTCTTAGTAACACTTTAATTCCTACAGTATGTCCCTATATCTTTGCAAACAACACGTATCAGTACAAAGCTAAGCCTATCTGTGTGTTATTTTGGTTCTGGTTTGATATTTTTCTGGCTGGAATGGGCTGGATGACAGAACATAGAGCTGGCAGGAAAGGCACAGCTGATCAAAAAGCATGTAATTGTATGTGAGGAGGAAACTCATTTTATATTCCACCATTTTGCTCTGCTTCCCAACAGCGAACAACACGTGTTTCTTTGCCAAGTGCCTGTATGTGTGCAAGACGGAGTACGCGGTGTGCGGTAGCCCCGACCTGCTGGAGGGCTCCCTGTCCGCCTACCTCCCCGGCCTCAGCATCGCCCCCCGCATCTCCATCCCCAACCCCTGGATACGCTCCTACACCTTCACCGGACGAGAAGAGTAAGACCTCAACCTCTGTACACGACAAGAGGAACAACATTTTATTTTATAGAACAAATGCTTGGAATACTGTTGTGTGGCTCAGTGGGAAGATTGTGTCATTATAATACTGTCAGGACTCGCTTACTGTTGTGTCATTTACTGTCTCTAACCCGACTGCAGCTGAGACTGTTGGTGGCCTCCAGTCAGATTGTAGTGCTTTCAAAATAAAATACAAGACCAGATTTTCCCATAAATCCTGTTAATGCTGAATCAAATTGGATGTTTATCTCTTTGGTCAAAGGCTTTTGCAATTAAGGATAAAAGAGGTGGAAGAGTGTTTTTTTCTTTCTTTGTTTGCTACACCATCCACTGTTCTTGTAATTTAAGTTAATTTGCACCAGACTTCCTGGTTTGTGCCATAAATCTGCTGAGTGTGTTAATGTGTGTGAAATCCACCTCAGTGGAACAACATAAAATGCAGAATAGAAGCATATTATTATAAAGTCTCGAAATCTAAATTAAGATGACACCTTTTATATACTGTTTTCAAATGTCTGGTCAAAAATAACATCTAAATGGGATGCTCACCTGGTAGAGCTGCGTAGAGCCAAGGCAGCAGCCGTGGGTTCGACTCCGACCTGTGGCTCTGCTGCGTGTCCTCCTCTTTCTCTCTTCCCCTTTCATGTCACTGTTCAACTGTCACTATCGATTAAAGTCAGTACAAAGCCCCCAAAAACAAACAAACGACATCCAAATGCAGTAAACATATCCTGAATGAGAACCTTTCTGTGAATTCATTTGTGTCTGTGTATCTTGTTTTTAAAGGTGGGAAGTGAATCCCTTCTTCTGTGACACCATAAAGCAGCTGTATCCCTATAACTCAGGCAACAGGCTCCTCAACATCATAGACATGTCCATCTTCGACTTCCTCATAAGTATTTTATACCACTACCTCCTTCTATCATCTCCTACGCACATAAGCCAGAACTTTTACTGTCAGAAACAATCTTTCTACACATTTCTTGTGTTCAAGTGTTCGGCCCTGTGTTTACAGGCAACATGGACAGGCACCACTATGAGATTTTCACCAGATTTGGGGACGAAGGATTCCTTCTTCACTTAGACAATGCCAGAGGGTGAGACAAAAACACGACAAACATTAAAATATCATTATTCTCAAATGATGCTTTGTGGTTTCATTTCTGTTTCACATCTTGTGCTCAGGTTTGGGAAGCACTCTCAAGATGAAATGTCCATTCTGGCTCCACTGTCTCAGTGCTGCATGTAAGTGTAATGTTACACAGTGTAGTTTGTGGCTGTTAAAATTGAGATCTAGTGTCATCTTTGAAGAAGCAAAGAATTTGGGGGTGGATAAATGAATTTCTTCTCTCTTTCCTCAGGATAAAGCGCTCCACTCTGTTGCGGCTCCAACTCCTGGCCCGACCGGACTACAGGCTCAGTGACGTGATGAGGGAGTCCCTGGAGGGAGACCCTTTACAGCCAATCCTCACGGAGCCCCACCTCTTAGCGCTGGACCGCAGGTTACAGAAGGTCCTCCGGGTGGTCCAGCGGTGTGTCCGGAGGCTGGGCGAGGACGAGGTGATCACAAAGGACTTTGTCAAATCCACAGCGAAACCTCAGACTGCCACAGAGATAAAAAAGGACAGGTAACAGAGGATGAAAGGCTCATAACTGCTCTGTGTGCCGCAGAAGACTTCATGATGAAGCGCAGCCACCTTGTAAGCAAACAAGGCTCAGATGGTTTCGATTTAAGGAACAAGCCATAAATGGAAGATGCTGTCTTATCAAGAGAGGGAAGTAAACTCTTTATGGAGGTTCAGAACTTGAATCGCTGCAGGCCTGAAATTCCTGACACAGAGGAGGCCATACCTTTATTCCCTTTTGTTTCTTTCATGGTCATAAATTCCCCCACGGGTGCATTTCATGACACGGCTCTCCCTTTTCATGTGCACCTACAACATCAGGGCAGTTTTGGGGTTAAAACATTTAAATTAAGACCTTTTAAGGAACAATTAAAGACCACTTTGACACTGAAAACTAGCTGGGAGAGTAAGAACAAAGCAGTATCTGTGAATATTTCACTGATACGTGAATCCATAGTTCATAAGAGCTGTGATGCACTGGATCAGTTGTTTATCAAATTAATGCTGGTGAATATTGTGATTATGGAAAGAAAGATGTGTGTCCATGTGATGTTTAATTATAAAATAAAGTTATTTTATGTGATGGCATGGTGAAAGTTGAAGAAAAATTATTACAAGTACCAGTATGCAAGTAACAGCAGAATGTGTGTGTGAGAAAAGTGCTACCTATTAAACAGCTATTTAGTTTACTCCACCCCGTTCTCCAGACTTGTAATCCTTCTGTCTCATTAGTGTTTAAACAGCTTTACGACGTCACAGCCAACTAAAACAGGCAGACAGAGAAATAGCTAACCTAAACCAACTGAGAAATGTGTGTTCTATCATACCGCCGTAATAATTCAGCCAGCTTTTATCTTACTATAAATTTGTGAATATGTTTTCCTCTGTGAACATGTCTCAGCTTCTCTTTGTTCTTACCTGACAAACCCGACACGTGACTATGTAATGTAAAGTAAAGCAAATAACCACAACGATTTTTGAGAGGTCTTCAGCCTGAAAAGCAGGAAGATAAGCAGCAAGAGCATAAAATGTAAAGGCCTTCATACCACAGCACTTATACAGTACAATACAATACATCTTCATTAAAACGTAGCAACAGGAAAAAACATTTTAAGGAACAGACTGGACTTTTCCAACTGCAAATAACTAATAGCAAAACACTGAATGTTGGTGCTTCCCAGATTCAAGTACAGTTGTTAATAATTAAGTTTAAAACTTTTGCTCATTGTTTGAAAATATCATTGCATGGAAAAATGACCTAAGTCATAAAAATTGTCTTAAGAGGGAAAATGGACAAAGCATGTTTAAAAATAATGTGAGTTCACAAAAAAGAATGGTGAGCATTTAAAATGTGACTATACATTTCAAAATAATAGACTTTTTATATAGGTTTTGGTGCAGCAATGATTACCAGTGATCATAAGGCTTTTCAGAGCAGTGACATGTCTCCCCCTGGTGGACAGATGTCATGTTACATCTGTTTTCAGAGCCACTTAACACCCAGATTTCACAATGATTCTACTTGGAGGCTGAACTCGAACCACCATTGCAAGTAGAGTAACACAAAAAGGACAAAGCCTGAGACAAAGCTGAATCATTTTTACTTTTTTATTGCTTAAACTGCCATCTGGAACAATCTATACCAAAAGGATAAACATCTTTGCACATACAGGAGGTCAAACTGAATACAGGGTAGAATAGAAAAAGAATGGTCCTCTGATCGCCTGCAGCTCTCTGCGCCGCAGGCCAAACAAACTCACTGAAGGTCGGGCTAGCAGGAGTGACTGACTACTACTGTAAGCCCAGGTTAGGTAAGCTAAGGCAAACCGGGACGATTGCAGTGTGGTTAAAAACATTTTGGACTAAAACCAATGATACTATTTACATGAAAACAATATTTTGACAAAAGGTGAGTCAAACCCTCGCCCCTAACGGAGTCATTTTCCTGCAGATGAGGATAAACAGGATGTGTTGTCAATGGAAACAAATCCACATGTAACCAAATCCACGAGGATAACCTCAGGGTTAGAGGGGAGGGGAACAGATGAAGATGATCAATTTAACAATAACGAAAAATACACTCATGTCCAATAACAAAACCTTTTTCTCACTAACCTGACTACCCTGCAATCGGCACCAAAATCAAATCTTTTTTGGACATACAAACATACATCTCGATTCTAAGCAAGAGCTCTGAATGAGACAACAGAAACAGACACATGACTGGTTCTATGTCAGTTCTGGTAACAGACAGTGAGGCAGGAATGAAGAGTTAAGCCTATAATCCAGAAGTCAACATTGTGTGATTTGGTAAAGATCTTTAAAAAAAAAAAAAAACAAACAAAAAAAGAAAAAAGGACAGACGTAACATTTTATGCCATCTAAATAGTCATGAAGCAGTTAAGCTAGGGAGTAACAAACCAAATATTTGACAAAGTCCCTGCACGCAGCTGCAGGGCACGCTTTTTAATACACGCTTCCATTCATACCGGATCACTGGATGCCTAAAAACATCATGCCAAGTAAGCATAGAGAACAGATCACAAGCTACTCTGATGAAAAGACAGCCACCTTTTCAATAGGCAATAAGCAATGACACTAGTTTTAAATAAATATCTGCTCACTCTGCCTGTCAGCTCACCTGTGATACATAAATACTTCAGATGTCCTGAAATCCATAAACCACTTCTTTTTTTTTTTCTTCAAGACTTCACTTCAATAAACCTGTAATTACCCATTTGATCTATTTTAAAAAGTTTTAACCCATGACGTTTTACACAATACAATTACATACTGTTTGTCAGTTGACAAGAAGAAGCATTTATTTACTTTGTGGCACTGGACACCTAAAATAGAATTTATGGAAAAATAAGTGTTTACAAAAGACAGTTAAACGTATTTTTTTTTTAAGATCACCATCACTCCAAACCATATCATTTATCATTTACTCAATGATAATAATATAACTATGATCATTTTAACTATACTATGATAACATTTTGATTACAAACCATAGCAGAAGAGTGACCAAGTTATTTGGTATATACTAAAAAAATTGAATACTGAAATACACTTAATACTCTTGTTTTTTTTTCCTTTCTTTTTTTGTTTTTTTTTTCCTTCAGAGTAGTCAAGGCAGTTCTTGTATGGTCATTCTACCGATTAAAGAGGACATTATGGGTAATAACTACTTCCTGTTCGGAGCTCCAAATAGTCAGGGAACAGAACACGCACTGCATTTCCACGGCTATGCATCTTTGCGTTGTGACAATAATTAAACATTTGGCACTAGCCTGGTAGCTGCACAATAAAATAAAGACCTTTTAAGTTGTACAAGCTCTCTCAAATGAAGCACAACAGACTTGTCATTGTCTCACCGATCAAAGGTAACCGAAAACAAATGGAGCACAACCATCATACAGCTGGAACCTAAAAACATCTGACAATATTTGATGCAATCTTTTTTTTCTTCCTGCCTTCTACAGTTTCTGGATTTTGCTCTACGCTGTACATCTAATCAGGCTAACTGGTGTCAAAAAGGAAACTCTTTAATGGGGAAGAAGCAGTCCTCTCTTCACTTCAATCTACAACATATATATATATGTTACAAATTCACCAAAAGCGCCATGTAAAGGTTGATTGTCCTGTCTCATCAGTCTGAGACCCTAATGTCTTTTAGATCTCCCAACAATCCTGCTTTGTGTTTAAGTCTAAAAAGAAAGCGTAACCAGCAAATACATATATAACATAGGTAACATGTGATGTAACTGTGCCTACAAGGTAGCGTACAGCAGCTGGTACAAGCGCTGGTGAATGGCTGAAAGTCACCTCTGCGTGACGGGTGGTAACAACAAAATGATCTCTTTGTGTAAAACAAAAACAAGAAAGGAGAAAAGCAACAGAAAGAAGAAGAAGAAGAAGAAAGTGACGAAAAGCAAATTGCATTGGTGGACCCTGGGTCTAAAAGGAGAAAAAGAGGGAAAGGGTGGAGGGGAGAGGAAGGGTGGGGGAGAGAGACGCCCCTTCACACAGACAGCGAGACGAAGCTGTTGTACTGTTGGATGTTACGTTTGAGAATGTCTGAACAGGGACCCAGGACGCGCTCGAAGCGAGGCCGGTCCAGCTTGACGCACTTCAGGGGGCCGCGGGCGACCACAGTGGCAGCGCGGGGACGGTTCATCAGCAGAGCGATCTCACCTGGAGAGCACACACAGACACACAGTTTCAAAAACAAAAATATAGAATGCATTCTAAGCAACTACAAAGACATTCAGAAGTTAATCAGAGTGCAGTTCGTTAAAAAATGGAGCCCAACTATTTTTTTTGTAATCACAAGGAGCATGTGCACAGTGCTTGATTGTGGTCATAGCTGTGATAGTGTTTAATGCCACAGTATCACAAAATGATATGAATCACTTAAAGGACTTTAAAGACTGCTGTGATGATGCTTTAGTTCTTACCAAAGTAGTCAGATGGTCCTAACCTCCCCACTTCCACAAACTCCTCGTTCTCTGAGCGACGCTGCAACACAGCCGCACGCAAGAACCCTGAGGAGAAGAACAACACACACCACAACCACACAGCACACACACACACACACACACACCACACACACACACACACACCCACACACACACACCACAACACACACACACAGCCACGTCAGTTTTGCCATCAAGCGCTTTTATCTTGTTTTATCTTTTGATCAGAACTTGTTAACCAGAAAGAAAATCTATCATCTGTATAAGAATTAGAATTTTGAAATATTAGTAACACTTTATAATAACGGACTTAAAAATTAATTTAAATAAATCCGTTAGTAAGCATTAACTAATAACATGAACTCCTGATCGTCAATAGTCGGAAACTTTTCATGATACACCCAGCATTCATTTCTTTCTTTCTTACTTACACATTACTTAATTATGGGACAATACATCACATTCCAAAGCCATACTTATTCAAACAATTAAACAAATGAACACATATGAAAAAGCAGAACACTTCATCAGTTTAAGAATACATGTAATATTATTAGGGCTGCAAATAATGATTAATCAATCTGCAGATTATTTTCTTGATAATATGATTCATTGTTTTGTCTGTATTATAGTGTTTTTTTAATGCCCATCTTAACTTCCTAAAGTCAAAGGTGACTCTTTGTTTTATTTGTCCCACCAACTCCCTGATTTTCTGTTGTACAACTAGTCAATTAATCAACCAATGGTTTCAGCTCTAAATCAATTACATCACTTCACGTCACCACTAGAGGGCGTGTGTGTGTGCTGGATAACAAATTGGTGTAATAGCTTATAGATCCACAGCTGAAAGTAAGTCACAAGTGGATCCAACACCTCCCAAACTGTTTGATGAAACTATTCAATTATAGAGCGCATTGAATAACACAACCAGCGAGGACGGACTGCCTAACAACATGAAATAACTGAAACAAGTAATGACATCTCTGGACACTTCAGAGTTCAAAGGGTAAACTCCTGTTATGGTGACAAACACAGGGTCTATGGAGGCATGTGTGTATGTGAGCATTAGTGTATACCTCTAAGATGATGAAGAATTCATCTCCAGGCTCGCCCTGCACTACAATCTTCTGTCCATCCTCAAACTGGACGGGCTCCAAGGCATCAGCAACTGTCAGACGCTCCCATTTGTCCAGAGACTCTGAGGGGGGAGAACACAGAAGAGGAGATTCAGCTGAATTGACGGACAACCCTGGAAAAAAAAATCTGATTTGAAAGGTTGAACCGGTTATTGGTTTCGATAGGTGAGGGGAGACATTTTTATGTGCTCTTTCGGGTTATTTTAATCTCAGCACCAAATGCAAGTAATGTGCTTCTTTTCCTCTATTTTAAAAGGTTTTGGGATTAGGCTGATTTTAAAAAAAATGAACCCACCTAAAATGGACACTTTCCTGAGGAATTCCTCATACATCTTCCTCTTTCTCAAAGTGCTTCCCTAAAGAGAGAGATGTTTGTTAGTGGAATTGTGTAAAAATGAAACTTTTTTTGTTTTGTTTGTTTGAACATGAGAGAGATGCCACACCAGCACATTACATGAAATGACATTTTACAATCCAGTTTTGTAAGCAGTGAGCTTTCTTTGCACAACAGTCCCACAGTTGTTGTAATACGCCTCCTCACCATAAGTATTCTCCTATAGCTGTCTCTGTCGATGCCCCACAGCTTGACATTGGTCTTGGCTCTAACTGTGGCCGCCCTTGGGGTGCCGTATATCAGGGCCAGCTCTCCGAAGCTGCCTCCTTCCCCAATGCTGGTCACCCATTCGTTGTTCACATACACCTATCAGATTAGCAGGAGGAGAATCCAAGGTGTTTAATTGCATCAGTGACCCAAAAAAAACACAAACACCCTTCTGTGTAAGGGAAAACAAGGGAAGGTATTTTTGTTACTAACATTGCTCTCTAAAAATCAGTGACAAAGATCAGATACTCACATCCATCTCCCCTTGGTCGATAACATAGAAATTGTCACCTTCGTCACCTGGGTGCATACAACAACACTGTTAGCATTACACAAACACATAATATGAGTTGGATAAATGTTCAACTGTGAAATGATGTAATCCTACCCTGCAGAATAACTGTTTCGCCAGCGATGTAGGTGACTGGAAACATTGCATCAAATATGTCGCTGGAAAGTTAAAAAGATTGTGAGTTGGTCAGCCGAACACAGCTGTCACACAATTATCAAATCTTTATTTATAAAAAAATTAAATAAATAAACACTGTTTAAAGACAGGTACCTCCTCTCATTGTCGTCCAAGTGTGAGAAGAGCACGTTCTTTTCAATAGCTTTGGCCAAGGCTGCCATTGTCTTGTAGTCTTTTGGAATGACCTTAGAAAACAACACATTACGTGGTAAAGACATTTTCACTCACTCAAGAGTTTCAACTGCATAAAAGTTTTCACAGCAATGATAGTATCAGATTGTCGATGTAGATGTAAGTGTTGCAACACTCTTGTAGGCTTCACACCTGCTGGCACGCATCTACCTTTCTGACGTATGAGGCTGCATCCTCTTCTGTGTACACCTCTGCGCTGAAGGCTCCTCTCCGCCGGCGACCCTTTACCACGGGGTTCATGGGTGGAGACACCTCCTCATCACGCGAGTCTGAACGGGAACTGCTGGCCTTCTGCTGGTTCTGAATCTGCTTGGCCTCCTCCTGGAAGGGAGGGAGGGGACGGAGTCAGCCAGCTGTCAGCCAACAAGGTTTATAGCTGCTGCAGTTCATCCAAGTCAAGGGTTATTTATAAAGCACTTTTTGTGCAATTAAAGTGACTCACAAAGTACTTTTTAACATATACAAACACATAAAATACCAAAACTAAAGTCTGACGTCCGTCCTCGATGCGTCTTTGACGTCATTAGACTGTTACACTGCCTGGCAGATAATTCCAGAGAATTATGTATATTTATTAACTATTTCCAGCCAAGTTAAAGCGAATAATCCAAGACAGTTAAAAGCTTGCTATCTGGTGAGCATCTGAAAAGGAAATTAAGAGGATGATAAACTTAAATAAGACCCTTAAAATAATTCTAAAATAAATCCTACCTTGAATTCAAAAAGGTAGCTAATTATGATCTCGAGTAGTTGTAATGTGGAATCTCACTTATTGTATATGTAGTTGTATTTGTTTTTAATTTAATTAATTTATCAATTCACTAACTTTGCGCCTAGCTAGTCTTTACTGATTTTTATAGTAAATGTAGCATCTGGTTTTGAACATGGCTTTGAAGCCTGATCCCCAACTGTACATTAACACTTGGGAAGTGTAAAATAAAATCTTGAAGTAGAAATACACAGGGCTTCAGGCTAAACGACAAGGACTTTCAATTGTGACACTCTGTCATAAATACGTTTAGTTTCTTTGCCTGAGAAATAAATAGGAAATATCATCTGACCATAAGTAAATAAATACAGCTTATGTTAGCAAATATTTACTGGCTCATGAGACAATAACTGCCGGGTATATAATGCTCAGATTTCAATAAGGACAACCAAAAAGCACACACACACACACACACACACACCTTCTCCAGCCTCTCGAAGTACTCCCTGAGGAAGGCCATGGGCCTGTCTGGCCTGGAGGTGCACAGCTGGACAATGCAGTCCTTCAGCAGCTGTTGAATGTTGTGTTTCTGCACGTACTGCTCACACTCCCTCAGGCTCCGCTCCTCCTCGCTGCTCGTACTTCCAGATGCCATGACGACAACCGTAACCCTGCTCTGTGACCTCTAACCTTTGTACTGGGGAGAGTGGGCAGTCACAGGGGGAAAGGGAACATGATTTCAGATATCGCTGTACAAAATGTATGAGCAGAGAACAACACAAGAGTAGTGGTGTCCGTGTGTCGTGAGGAGAAACGGACAGACAGAAAACGTGAGAATGTGAGAAAAATAGAAGCAGAGTGAGAAGACGCTGAGAGATGGGCTGTTGTTGTGCCACTGAGCAGCCTGAGTGCTTATGAGTGTCAGGAGTGAAAACTGGTCATATGATGTGATCACACATGTCTGACCACAGACAACAAACTAGGACAGGCACACTGTATGTCCTGGGTTTGTTTACCCAAAACAATCTAACTTGTTCACCAGCCTGAATGAAGCTCTCTATCAGAGAGACAGTATCATTCACAGAGCCTAATTTTAGAGCAATGGTGAAATGAAGGCCAGTGAATCAATCCACTGTGAAACAGACCACACCATAAAAGCAGTTTCACTAGTGCTCGGGGTTTCAACATTTCAGGTCACAATACTGCTGCTGAGAAAAACAGCCTGACAGATCCCAGATCATGTGATCAGCCTGTGTGATATAAGCTTCTTCAGATAGCTCTGATCTTGATCTAGCTGTGTAGACTAAAACAGGAAGGCCTCTAAAGCCCTGCTGTAACCAACATGTTAGATAAATAAACGGTGAGCAAGTCCTGTGAAGGAAACAGGCCGATCCATCCAGTCCCTGCAAGTGTATCTTGCATGTGCATCAGTATAATAGGATTCGGATCATTTCTAATCTGACAGGGCCCAGGGGAGATTACTAGCCATGTTATCAAAGATGAGGCTGGCAACTGACTACACTCATGGTGGAAACTTGGCAGGCTTGCTTTAAGCTAAACCTATCACAGGAATAACTAAGTGATAAATGATACTGTTTTCGGATCAGGTGGTATAAATTAAGAGCTAACACCACAAACAACGTGGCTGTTCCGCCTTATATTATTAGTAAATCTTACTCAGTTTGAACTCTCTGAGGCAGCGAGAGTATGCAATTAACATGTTAATTCTCTAATTCAGTTAACGGAGCTGCAGCACCACCTCTGCTGTCTAAGAAGCGGGCTGTCAATTAAATTAGAGAAAACACTGCGATGCACAAATGACCTTGCTGAACGAGTGACAACGGAGTGTGCCGGATGACACATGATAATAAATAACGCACCTAATGGCACACAAACAGAGTGAATGGTGTCGCCTTTAGAGACAGCGGGAGGCAAATGCCCTGTCGGTAACGTTAACACCGTCTAGGTCAGGAAGGCTTCATGAGGAGGCTGACGGCTGCAGCAAGTAACTTACAGCGAGCAGGCTAAAGCTGAAACACTACCCTCCCTCCATTATAATATCCGATAAACACGAAATATAAACGAACAATAATCGTCTCATACTTCCACTCGACTGCCTCTGGCCTGCGTTGTGTTACGGAGTGTGTCTAGTTTGATGCCTAGCTGGCTAGCTCCGTGCAAAGGCAAAGCTCTCCTCCAATGACGCCATCTTGAGTTCTATCATAAACAAACGAGAGACGGAGGAAACAAATTTCACCTATCCAGAGGTCATATGATCCGTCAACGGAAAAAACGCACATACTTACAAGAAACTGTGAATTCCTGCCGAGCCCTTCGATAGCGACTCGGGATGGGTGATATTTCTCAAAGCGTACCGTTACCAGATCCTTCTCTCTTCGATTTTTTTTCCCGAGCCCTGGACCGCTGCCCCACCGGATACGGCTGGGAACCAATCAACAGCCGTCACTGACGTCAATTCTCCTCGTTCTGACATGTGAGCCGGTAACCCCTGGCAACCTTAAAGGAGACCGCACGGAAACCGTGACGTCAAGGAAATAGTTTAGAAATGAAAGAAGAAAAAAAAAAAAATCGATTTATATCTGATTAAAAATTAGCCTGATAACGGGAATCTCTCGGGGTTGGCTTTTTCGAGAATGCGTAAAATCCTCTGGTTCACTGCAGTTTGCAACGTGAGGGGTTTTTTCGGAGAGATTGGGTGCATATCTTAGAGGGAACTGAGAAGTCATAGGTGGGCTCCCCAGACACATGTATTCTCATAGGAACATTTTGAAATAGTACAGAGTTCACTCTTTTATTTGCGCGCAGCAGGACACAATTAATGCACAAGTTCTGCAAGTAGAAAACAATAAATAACTTATAGAAATGATGTGAGTGTTTAGATCCACAGTAGTAGTACCACCATGCATAAGGTATAAAGTAAAAGTATTGCATTCAAAGTGTGAACTACATAAAAAAATTATCATCAGCGAAATGTAACTATCGAAAATAAAAGTACTCATCAAGCAGAAATACGGCCTCTGTGAGTGTAATATTATGACTGATTTGTTAATGTCTTCGCAGTATTTTAATGTTATAGCTGGTCGAAATGCAGTTAATTTAATTGATTTATTTTCTGTTGGGTAGTTTAGTCCATAATAAAGCATTATATTTGATAAGATGATCATGCATATGTACCATCTGCATCTGAGTACAATCAACTAAAGCTGCTGTATGCTGATAATTGTAGTGGAGTTAAAAATATGATATATAGCTATGAAATGTAGTAGAGAACAAATATAAAGTAAAAATAATAATATAGAAATACTTCAGTAAATGCAAGTACCGCACAAAATGAAAAGGAAGAAAGGAAAATTTAAATTTAAACGTAAACTTAAAATAATAAATCATAACAAATAAATAATAATAATGAGACAGAAACAAAACCATAATATTGGTATCCAAAAAGAATGAAATAATAATATAAAAATAGCTGTGTTCAGTAGTTGAACGCCTCTGACACGGGCTGTTCATGTGTCTCTGCACGGACGGGCAGTAAAAAAGCTTGAAACGTCTTTTATCCAATGAAATCATCAAAACAATTCCTCGTGACAAGACAGAACGTACAATTGGCCAATCAACCGTTTTTTCACTTAAATGGGCGGGTCTCGTTTGATTGACAGCTGCGGCGTCGAATGAACCGGAGGCTTTAAACGGCTCGACCAATAGGAACACCGGAGCGGAGAGTTTGACATGTTGCCGTCAGCCAATCGCGATGCATCTCCGAGTGACACATCCACCCATCAGCTGTTTTTGTTTTGCTGTGTGAATATTGGAAGTTAATAACATAATAACAACAGTGTCGACCGGCTGAAGTGAAACGGCTCATCGGGGAGGCGTTATCGTGGATCTGGTTCACACTCGGGACAGGTCACTCGGTGTGGGATGTGTGCCGTCTGAGCCCAGTCTGACCGGACATTCCTCTCCCCGAAGAGTGTGAGCGTGGCGCTTGGAGTCGGGGAGCAGAGGAGGGGAAGCGGGTTCCGGCGGGGATCGACCCGAGCCCAAAGGCCTCCGACCTCGACCGGCAAGAGGAGAGGGAATTTGGCGGCTCGGATGGAGTCCCAGGACGCACCGGACGGCCCCGAAGCGCACAGAGGCTTCATCTGTGCGTCGTTTAACCAGGACACCACGTAAGCGACCTGCGGGCTGGGCCCAGCATGAACTCAATCTCCTTGATGCACCTGACTGTTGCATAATTGTTTATAGTTGCATTTACATGCTCTGGTTTATTGTATGTCACTTTGTAATAGCGTCAGCCATCTGGCATTTGTGTGTGTGTGTGTGTGTGTGTGTGTATCCAAAATAAAACTACAAGCTTCTCTATGCTTCATTAAAACTTCTAGCTGAGCCCCTTAGAGCTGAAGGTGAAGTAGGCCACTGTGTTAATCTTCCAGGCCTGTTGCACATTAAACTAGTCAGTTAGTAACCAAACTTCTGGCTATTGTGTAACAAGACAGTTTATACAATGAAACAATTTAAAAACAGGCCTATTCGATGTCTCATGCAAGTTTCCTGCTTACCTCCTCCTTGATTCACGATTCATACAATATTACATGTTTAATAGTAAAAGCATTTTTTTAGGTTATAGAAATATTATTGAGTGCAGCTTTACAAGCAGAAGTGCTCACACTCACACCTGCGCTCTAAGCACTGTCCCATGCTTTGGGATTATTAGAGGATAAACTATGAAATCCAGCAGAACCCACTGACTTCTTCCGTTACAGGTGTGTCGCCTTGTACAAACACCTCCTCTGTCTCTGATTGTAAAACGAACCAGGTGGCCAAACAGTCCACAGGGGTGTCTTATCTCTTCCTCATCGTGTTCTTTTTAACTCCAGCCATGATAAGATTAGGAAAGCTTCTTTTGGGGGCAATTAACATATTTTAATAGAACCTGTGTTATGGCTGTGTTGTCTGAACAAGATAAGATAGTCTGGAAGAAATACTGTCATATATGGCTACCGAACACCTCTTCAGGTGAGGTGAACACGGGATCTGAGCTAGTAACCTCAGTAATGGCCATACATTGGCTCCCTGCGGTTATTACAGCATAGCCAATGGTGGTATCTCACTATTTCCTTGATGACAACTAACAATCATAAAGCCATAGCATATTGCATCCATTACATATTACACCCCAACTACACCTACCTCTACTAGTGATTGCACGTGTGTGTGTGTATGGATAATCCTACACTTTTCAATAGCAACCTATTCCTTTTAACTAAATCCATTCACTAATCTGTAGTAGTAACAAACAAACAAACAAAGGTTTTCTGTAATTAGACAATAGACTGTATATGTCAAAATGTTGACAAAAAACTATGTTGTAATTGTGTGTGTGTGTGTGCACGCGAATACAGCAAATATAATGCATCAGATTTGATTTGTTTCAGGATCGTTTTTTAAATGGCTGTCAGTGACACGTGTAATTGCAGTGTTATTAAGGTATTTTTAACTGTAACAATGGTGGATGTGGCTGGTAAGATAGTCTCTGTGTGTATGTGTGTGTGTGTGTGTGTGTGATGTTATTGTAGATCTCTGTCAGTGGGCACCAAGACTGGCTACCGGCTCTTCTCAGTCACTGCTGTGGACAAGCTGGACTGCATCCATGAGGGAGGTAAGAGGGACACAGTACTTTGTTCTCTGCAGTACTCACAAAGACTGAAAATTACAGGAAGTATATAACCCCCCCCCCCCC